CCTGAGTGAGGGGGTGTCCCCAGTGTCACTCCAGCAGGGTGGGTGTCCCCAGAGATGCCCCAGCAAGGGGGGTGTCCCCAGTGTGACCCCAATTTAGAGGGTGTCCCCAGAGTGACCTCAGTGGCATGGGTGTCCTCAATGTGACCCCAGCGAGGTGGGTGTCCTCAGCGTGATCCCTGCAAGGCCCGTGTCCCTGGGGTGTCCCCAAAAGGATCCCTGGGACCTGGGGCCACCAAGCTCAGCTGCGCTGGTGTCCTGCACCCCAATCTCCTCTCTGCCCCTGCGGAGGAGCTCTGCAGCCCCAGCCCCCCACTCGGGGGGCGCTGGGACCCCTCCTCCCCCTGCCAGCGCCTCACCCCCGCCTGTCCCACCCCAGACAGCCAACTACTACGGCTCCCTGCTCCAAGCCTCCACCGTGTGCCTGGGCACCGGCCCCTGCGGTGATGTCTACGTGCCCTTCCGGGACCTGCTGCCCATGGTGCACCCCAACGACATCGTCTTCGACGGTAGGTGGGACGCGGGGGGACCCCCCGGCGGCGCGGGGCACCCCGAGCGCTTGGGTCACCCCGTGTCCCCCAGGCTGGGACATCTCCTCGCTGAACCTGGCGGAGGCCATGAGGCGGGCGGAGGTGCTGGAGTGGCCGCTGCAGGAGCAGCTCTGGCCGCACATGGAGAAGATGAAGCCCCGACCTTCCATCTACATCCCCGAATTCATCGCCGCCAACCAGGAGGAGCGGGCGGACAACGTCCTGCGCGGCTCCATGGCCGAGCAGGTGCTGGCAGGGCGGGGCACGGGAGGGGACACCGGGCACGGGAGGGGACACAGCCCCGGGACACCGGGCACGGGAGGGGACACCGGGCACGGGACACCGGGCAGGGGAGGGGACACAGTCCCGGGGAACCGGGCAGGGAGGGGACACGGGCCCCGGGACACTGGGCAGGGGAGGGGACACGGGACACCGGGACACCGGGCAGGGAGGGGACACGGGCCCCGGGACACTGGGCAGGGGAGGGGACACGGCCCCGGGACACCGGGCACGGGAGGGGACACGGGACACCGGGACACCGGGCACGGGAGGGGACACGGCCCCGGGACACCGGGCACGGGAGGGGACACGGGCTCCGGGGCGGTGGCACCGGGTAGAGGAGGGGACACGGGACACCGGGCAGGGGAGGGGACACAGTCCCGGGGAACCGGGCAGGGAGGGAACACGGGACACCGGGCAGGGCAGGGGAGGGGACACCGGGCACGGGAGGGGACACGGGACACGGGGCACCGGGCAGGGGAGGAGACACCGGGCACGGGAAGGGACACGGGCCCCGGGACACCGGGCAGGGCAGGGGACACCGGGCAGGGGAGGGGACACGGGCCCCGGGACACCGGGCAGGGCAGGGGACACGGGACACCGGGCAGGGGAGGGGACACCGGGCAGGGGAGGGGACACGGCCCCCGGGACACCCCGGGGCGGTGGCACCGAGCCGACGCGTCCCGCCCGCGTCTCAGGTGGAGCAGATCCGCAGGGACATCCGCGACTTCAAGGAGAGCAGCGGCGTGGACAAAGTCATCGTCCTGTGGACGGCCAACACGGAGAGGTTCTGCGACATCGTGCCGGGGCTCAACGACACCGCCGACAACCTGCTGCGGGCCATCGAGGTCGGGGGGCGGCCGCGGGCAGCGGGAGGGCGGCGGCCCCGCGGCGGCGGCGGCGCTGAGCCGCCCGTGTCCCCGCAGCGAGGCCTGGAGGTGTCCCCGTCCACGCTCTTCGCCGTGGCCAGCGTGCTGGAGGGCTGCGCCTACATCAACGGCTCCCCGCAGAACACCTTCGTGCCGGGCGCGGTGGAATTGGCCGCCCAGCGCCGCGTCTTCATCGGCGGCGACGACTTCAAGTCGGGCCAGACCAAGCTGAAGTCGGTGCTGGTGGATTTTCTGGTGGGCGCCGGCCTCAAGGTACGCGGGGGCTTCAGGGGGGTGTCCCCAGCTGCAGGGGACGGGGGGTGACCCGCCCGTGTCCCCCAAGACCAAGTCCATCGTCAGCTACAACCACCTGGGGAACAACGACGGCAAGAACCTGTCGGCGCCGCAGCAGTTCCGCTCCAAGGAGATCTCCAAGAGCAACGTGGTGGACGACACGGTCCAGGCCAACCCCGTCCTCTACGGCCCCCAGGACAAGCCTGACCACTGCGTGAGTCGGGGGGCCCGGGGGGGTGCACAGGCACGGGGGTGACACGGGTGACACGGGGGTGACACGGGGACGTGGCTCTGGCAGGTGGTGATCAAGTACGTGCCCTACGTGGGGGACAGCAAGCGGGCGCTGGACGAGTACACGTCCGAGATCATGATGGGTGGCACCAACACCATCGTCATCCACAACACCTGCGAGGTGCGTGCAGGGCCACCGGGCTGGCCCCGGGCCGTCCCCTCGGGGCAGGGCCACCGGGCTGGCCCCGGGCCGTCCCCTCGGGGCCACGCCGCCTGCTGAGCCCCTCGCTGCCCGCAGGACTCGCTGCTGGCCAGCCCCATCATCCTGGACCTGGCCATCCTGACCGAGCTGTGCCAGCGCATCACCTTCTGCACCGAGGCCGATCCCGAATTCCAGGGCTTCCACAGCGTCCTGTCCATCCTCGCCTTCCTCTGCAAGGCCCCGCTGGTGCCCGAGGGCACCCCCGTGGTCAACGCGCTCTTCCGCCAGCGCAGCTGCATCGAGAACATCCTGAGGTACCCGGGGGGGCCCCGTCCTCGTGGCCGCCCACGCCGGCACCCCACGGCTCGCAGGGGGTCCCACTGGGGGATACCCAGGGTGCCAGGGGGGTCCCAGTGCCCGCCGTGGGGTGCCCAAATCCGGGGGGTGGCCAGTGCTGGGAGGTGGGTCCCGGTGTCACCAGTGGGTTCCAGCACGTGCTGGTGATGGTCCCAGTGCCCAGAGGTCCTGGAGATGGCCAGGACCAAGGTCCCAGCACGGATGGGTCCCCGTTTCCCATCACGGGGTGCCCAAGGGGAGCAAGGTCCCAGTGCCCGGGGTGTCCCCACACACAGACCCTGGTACCCCGTGGGTGCCAGTACTGATGCCCGAGGGGGGGCCCAAAACAAATGGATCCCAGTGCCCAGCACCAGTGGCTCCCAGTAACCAACTGGGGCTCCCAAAGCTTGGGGTTCCCAAAGTTTGGGGTTCCCAGTGCCTGGGCTTCCCAAAGTTTGGGGTTCCCAGTGCCTGGGGTGCCCCATTCCAGCTGCTCCCAGTGCCCAGCTCTTGGAGGTGCCACACTCCAGTGTCCCCCAGTTCCCAACACTCATCCCCAGCACATCCCAGTGCCCGGACCCCCATCCCACTCCCCC